TAATGTGTTTTTTCCTTGGACAAAGTCATTATTTGTTCTCTAAAACACTGGTCGACAATAACAAATCAATACAAATTCAAAATAAATATTTCTTTACGTTATTAACGCATGCGCAATGAGAGATAATGTCTGCGTTGGACAGACTGTTCACGCTGAGCTAACAAAAGAGTATTTTTTGGTGTCAGCTCTACGTCAACTTTCCGCTGACGCCCAGATAAGGCGCTAGTTCTAAGAAACCAGGCCTTGAGCTAACAAACCAGTATTTTGTTAGCGTCAGCAAGACGTTGACGTCCCGCTGACGCCCAGATAAGGCGTTTGTCCTAAGAAACCAGACCTTTAGGTTCATAATGTTGTTTTTTAGCTGACGTCACACTAGCGATAGGAAATAAATTGCATTGTCCACTAAAATTTCAAGACAAGGTGGATTTTAGCTTAGCTTACAAGACTTAATGAAAAGAAACCTTACAATTGCATAGATTTAATATTATTTTCACCTTGTGACTAGCTTTGTTAAAAGATTTTTTCACGCTTGAAAACCCCAAGTCAGCCTCGATTTAAGATTTTTTTTTACATAGATGGTTGTTTTCCAAGGTTTTGGATTAGGGTAATAATGTGAATAGAATAGAGCAGATTGTCATCAGATCTAGTTTTAAGGTTAGAAGGTTTATACGTAAACCGTATAACAAACCTTTTCAGGTTTACATTAAAAGGTTAAAATAAACCTTAGTTAAAATACCTGAGTTAAAATAAACCTTATTTTGCTATCTGGGATAAGTGTTGTTCTGTTTCTAGTATGATTACCTTGGATTGACAGAGTGCATGGATGCATTGAATAGAGGATTTTGTACGAAAAGTTTTGAAAGAGCAAATAGTGTAGGATGTAGAATTTGAATCGTACTACCAATTTTGTGTACAAATGCAGTACATAGAAGCAAAGCAATCTCGCTACAGCCAGAGTAGTCGAACAAAGTGGTCGTGGAATTATAGGCTACATGAAATCCAACTACGAAACCATTGGCAAAATAGTGATCATTATTGCACATCAGCTGATTTTACTTCGTAAAAAGGTGTCACCCATTGTTCTTAAGCGTTATAAACTTCAAGCCGCCACGAGAGGTCGAACAAACTATAACAGCTCAGTGCTTCAATTGCTGTGCCATCGTGGTTCCTGCATTACGTAACATTTTCTTGATAACTATAATTTATTTTTTAACCGTCATTGAACAGTCGACCCAATTTTGAGTTTACGACCACCAATGTTTGACTCCGTAGCCTCGTAATTTTGAACACGATCCAGGGAATCCGACAAGGGAATTCCGTAATCAAGTATTGGGGGAGAATTTGTCTTCGTAGAGGACTTTTTGAAGGAGCTAATCAACATTTGCGAAAAAAAGACATGAAACCCTCCTACGGTTGGCCTGCTGACAGGAGATTTTTGATATTTTATATCCGTCGTTGAACCACAGATCCAATTTTTGGGTTTACAACTAACTATACTAATGTTCAACTCCGTAGACTTGTAATTTTGAACCAATCCAGAAGACAAGAAAACTCCTGGATCAGTACCCCAGAGGTATTGCTTTGATATGGGAACATGGAGGACTTAGCGACTCGAGAAATTTAACGTGCATCAGTCACCATTTACTACACGGGGAGTTTTCGGCCAGCGGGGATCAAACCCATGAACTCCTGGACATGGGCTCAGTGTCCTACCAACCAGGCTATCCCGACCATGTGACAGGAGATTGTAATCTATGATCCGTCAATCACTGAGGACTGTCGTCGGAGCGAGAAGAGTACGGAATTCGCGTCGACCAGCCATCGCTGAAATTCGAACCTGGTTCATCTCTTGTCCGTGACCGAGGGGTATTAACATTTCATCAATTGTTCTGGAATGCATATTTAGCCGGGTTCCTTATAGCTTTTTGGATTTTTCTGCCAACAAAAAACTAATCAGCATCATTGAAATTACTTTTTTATTTCATTTAATAGAACCTTATCTTCCCCATCAGACAAAGTAATTCTTTCACGGTCAGGTCAATCACTTTTAATCAATTCAACACCAACGAGTTTTTTTTCTTAGAAATAAATACATCCTTTTAATCTGATTCAAAAAACTTTTCAAATTTTTTTTTTACCCCTCTTCCGCGCATAAAAAGAAAGAGGGGGACCTATAGGTTGGAGGGGAGGGAAAAAAAACTCAAAATCACCCCGGTATGCGATAGAATTTAAACTATTTTACTGAGAACACCACTTACAAAATCGAACCAAATCTAAAACGGGGGTACAATGAGAAGTGAAACAAACAAACAAAATGGAAATGAGAACCCAGAGAAAGTTTTGGCGATGGCTTCTCCTTCAAAGAATCCTTTTCATCTTCTAACGCCAGGGCTGTGAAAAGGGGAATTTTGTGGAAGGGGGTTCATGAAAAGGAAAAGAGTTTTTATTAGGATAATGAGGGGAGACTGGAGCACGATTTGGCCATTAGTGTGATGGGAAGTCACTTTCACCAAAGAAGAATAGAGAAGCGCCCTCTCTCATTGAATAACATTTTCTGCAGAAAATTTTCCGTTCGTATTTTAGCTTTAATCCGCTTTATTGCATGGAGCTAATATACGTTTTAGTTGCATCCATAACATAACTTGAAAAATATTGGAAAGGCACTTTCACCGGAGAATGCCATCAGTTCCTCTCTCTTTCAGCGAACAACATTCGTAAAGGGAATTTTCTGACCTATTTAAGGCGTGATCTTTGGAGCTAATTTTGGTTGCACCCATGTTTTATAAAATACATAAAATTTCAGAGCAAAGTCGATTTTTTTTTCAAAGTCGATTTCACCAAAGGATAATAGAGAAGAAACCATAATATATAAGTAAAAAACATACTTTGATGAAATATTTCGCCATTATGTTGGGTGTATTAATTTAAATTGGAAGCATCAACTGTGTTATAAATGTTAGAAAGTTGATAACAAATTTTTGGG